AAATAATAAGCCAGGCTGCATTTAGCATAGATTATCCCAAAATTAAGCAACATGTGGCCTGGATTATAACCATCCTCTGCCTTTTAGATAATGGTCTGGTGCCATTATCTAAGGGTTTGATATTTTAGGAAGATTGAAAGTAAATACATCTTTAAAAAATTGTTTATTTTATTGGTTTAGGAGACATCCGTTACCATATAAGAAAGAGTGGGTTTGTTGGCACTCTAGTGTTATATTATTTATTTGATGCAAATAATTATTGGATCAAATAGAAAATTGTTCATCAAAAGCCACTATCACCTACCAGTGGTTTATGCATTTTTCTAAATTAAATATTGAATGAATAATATGTCTAAACTTGGAGAAATTGATACACAACCAAACCACAGCCATCTTCTCCATTCCAGAAGCAAAATAAAGGAAATTTGTTTTGTATATCTTTCCTTCATGAAGCCATAGGCATTTTTCCTACAGTTTGTATGTCCTTTGTCTGTAAGCCTGAGTACATCTAGAAAAGCAAACCCACTATTTATTATTTCATTCATTGTGCCTTGATTGTTGAAATTGTCTGTTACAGCATGGATCTTATTACTCTCTCTGTATTGCTTTAGTGTGTGGTGGATCTCTTCCAAGTATCTCTGGGAGAAACTTCACTTCTCCCGGCTATAATGGAATCCGTGACTATGCAAAGAACCTAGACTGTGAATGGACTCTCAGTAATCCAAATCGGGAAAATTCATCCATTGTTATCCATTTTGTAACATTTTCTCTTGAACGTCATCAAGACTGTGCATTGGATGTCCTTGAGTTTCGAGTGGGTGAGTTCAATCAAAGAATGTGTTTTCTCATTTATCTGCATATTCTTATTCCTGGAGACAACAGCAGAAGTCAAATGGCTACTATCTCAGTACACAAGCTACAAAGGAGCTTTGTCAATGCAAAGCTGAAATCCTGTGTTCCCAGATAGGAAATGTGACCTAAGAACTGTGAGTGAAGTGGAGCCTTAGCAAGGAGTTTCTATCTCAGGTTTCCTGTATGGGAGGCTCACCCAAGTGGGTTCCAGCTAGTCCCTGTCCTATCACTGTACCCCACTAGTCCTCAGAAACTAAACTTGGTGTGATCAGACACTAGCAGTCATTTCCTGAACTTGCAGGATTCATAAGGAGGTTGTTTGCTTGTTTATTTATTTATTTATTTATTTATTTATTTACTTGGCCTTAGAAGTTTAGAAACCTCCCACATTGTACCAGTGTGGAGCAGCACATGGGAGCTGTTTGGGGAATTATCCTCAAAGTCATTGCCCATTTTTTTTTTTCATGATAGTAAAGGATGAAGGTATATTTGATGAACCATACTTCTCTTAAGAATTTTTTAAAACCTTGTGTTCATAGACAGTTGATGATTCCAGTTCCTTCTTAGAGTTGAAGCATAGATGATATAATGATTGTTCCTCCATTGTCACACTGACGCATGCTTCCTAGTAAGAAAATAAGTAGACAGAGGAGGAAAATAGTATTATAGCGTTCTGTACTTTCAAATGTTGATTGTGTTCTCCTTAATACCCAATGCTAAAGAAAAGAAAACTGAAAGTAGACAACTATAATAATCAGTGGTATTTCTATATACAATATATATAATATAGGCATGTATTATATAGTATAGTATATATTATTATAGTCATTGTGTTATTTTGACACTTTTTATTTTAGGGGAGAAAGTTATTCCACAAAGGTCTCTCATAAACCTTTGGGTGGTAGACAAATAGGGGAAATTACGGAGAATAGTAATAATCTTAGTGTGGCTACACAAATGATACTAACAGCAATAAGAATCAGCTGTGTGGGGATGGGGAAGAATGGTTGGGGGTGAGGGGAGGGAGAGGGAGAAGGGACTTGAAATAAGCTTGTTCCCTAACTAGAACTAATAAATAATTTTTTTAAAAAAAGAATCAGCTGTGTTGGGCTGGAGAGATGGCTCAGAGGTTAAGAGCACCGACTGCTCTTCCAGAGGTCCTGAGTTCAATTCCCAGCAACCACATGGTGGCTTACAACCATCCATTATGAGACCAAATGCCCTCTTCTGGTGTGCAGATATATATGGAAGCAGAATGTTGTATACATAATAAATAAGTAAAATCTTAAAAAAAAAGAATCAGCTGTGTCTATGCAGAAAATAATGATAGAGTAGTGTGGTATCGTCAGGATGAGTAGCATATAAAATAAAATTTAAGAAATCAGATGGATTACACAATGCATTCCATCTCTACACTTTTAAAGATAATTTCTATGCAGCCTTAAATGAAACAATGTAGTGCTGAGATGCATCACAGCAACCCTGCACTGAGGCCAACATTGAGAAGACCTGGCAGTCACTGATGGCCTCCTTTGAGAACATGGAAAGCAGGGCTTTTATGAAGGGCTTTGATATAATCTTGGGTCACAGACCAGGGATTCTTGCAGGATAATCATCCCCACTCTCTGAGGCCCATGGGTATAAACATGGAAGTGGCTGTTTGAGAATGCTTTCTGTGAAACGCTGTTAAACACTACCTCTACCTGTTGTTAGGCCATTCATAGAATAAAGCAGGACAGCTGCATAATATTCAATTTCAGTCAGTGAAACTCGATCTTCTCTTCATGCTCCTGATTTCCAGACAGTAGACATACTCTATTTTTCATTGATTTATAAGGTCAGTGGTGTCCATCTGACAGAATAAATAGGGAGCAGATAAGTGTGCACTCTCCAGGTACTCTGTAAATGTTAATCAAATTTCTGGGAAAAGCAATCTTCATGAAACTTGTTCAACTCAACCCTGACAGTTCTTGGCCCGAGTGCTGAATATTCTGTTCATTTCAGATGATCAGATGCAGTGAAGAATCTTGAAGAGTTTGGGCAATCATCACCTTTCTCCTAAGAGTATATTTGTTATCACCCTTCCTCCCTTCCAAAGCACACAGCTAAAAGGGGTATTGAGTTGATTGCATTTCTGTTTAGAAAAGTGAAAGCTGTTTTGAAGACATAGATTGGCACCAATAGCAAAGGCATCTCTACACCCAAACAGTGTGTCAGAGAACTCTTTGTGTGTAATTGACAAAGATTCTTTTGTAATGTCTGCTACTTTACCAGGATGGAAATATATCAAGGAGTGCTTTTTGTTTTTATTATTTGTTCTTATTAATTAAAGATATTTGTCTGAAACCCTGTAAATAACATCAGTTGGCATAATATTTTGACCAGGTGATGCTGACGGGCCCCTGATAGAGAAGTTTTGCAGCCTGTCAGCACCAGCAGTACCCTTGGTTATCCCCTACTCCCAGGTGTGGATACACTTTGTCACCAACGAGCGTGAAGAACATATTGGATTCAATATAGAATACTCCTTTACTGGTAAGCCTGAAAGATATCACACATAGTTTTATAGATTTATGTCTTACTATAGAATAGTTTCATTGATAATTTCTGTAAAATATTTCAGGTTAAATTTTTAACCAGCTGTTACTGATACCAAGAAAAGAGTTTTATGGATATATAAATATAAGTGATATGTGTGTATATATATATATATATATATATATATATATATATATATATATATATATATATTTGCCTTTATTCCAGGGACCCTACTATAGTCTTACAGTTTTACAACTTTGATCCCTATGTTTCTCTGTGTAGACAATTTTGTCTTCTTTAAACTACAGTCTTTTTGTTTTGTTTTATATTGTTTGACTTGGTCCCTAAGCTTGGTCTCCAATTTACATTGACATATTTTTCTCTTTTAAACCATTCTTACATTTTAGGATACATCCTACATGGTCACAGTTTATGTTTTATTCAGATTACTGCATATTTCTAATAATTTTGTTAGGCCTGCATATGTGACATTCAGTGTTTATATATAGAAATTCAATCCAAGGTCAGTAACAGAACTGCTTGTCTTGGTTACCAGAACTTGTTCTTTTTTTGTTTGTTTTTCTGCCTCCTTTCACTAACATGGCAATCCTTTCAGATTTGTGACAATGTTTCCTTTTGTGAAAGTCTAAAGTCATACTTCCTTCTCCTGCGTTGTCTCCAAAACCTTAATTCCCAGCCTAAGTCCATGTCTTCTTCAGAACCCTCTCGGTCTGCCACACTTTGCATTTGCCATTGCTCCTCTGTGTTTGAGTGTATTTCTTGTGGACAGATTTTAGAATCCCACTTCTCTTTCTATTGAGTTTGACTGTGAAGCAACATACATCTTGCTATAGTCTTACATACTGTTCTTCGTATTATAACCAAATGCAGGCAGATTTTCCTTTGGGCCACCAGCTCATAAAATCACACAGAGACATTATTAATTATGAAAGCTTGGCCTTAGCTTAGTCTTGTCCCATTAGCTCTTAAATTAACCCATATCTCTTTTTTTGTAGTTTTTTCTCCATTTTTTAAATTTAAATTAGAAACAGGATTGTTTTACTTGTCAATCCCAGTTCCCTCTCCCTCCCTTCCTCCGCTGTGCCCCACTAACACCCTACCTACCCCATCCCCTTTCTGCTCCCCATGGGGGAACCTTCAGAGTTTGTCATATCCTTTGGGATAGGGCCTAGGCCCTCCCCCGTGTGTCTAGACTAACAGAGTATCCCTCTATGTGGAGTGGGCTCCCAAAGTCCATTCCTATGGTAAGGATAAGTACTGATCTACTACAAAAGGCCCCATAGATTTCCAAGGCCTCCTCACTGGCACCCCCTGTTATCTTTTAACCCATCTTCTTTCATGTGGCTTGCTTAACTTTAATCTGAACTGCCCATCCTGCTTCTTCAACTTCTGGCTGGCAATTCCCCTCTGTCTTCTTTCTTCCCAGAGCTCTCTGTCCTCAGAAGTCCCACATGCCTATTTAGTGGTCATCCATCTCCTTATTGAAGTCATCAGAAGGTGCCTTGGCAAAAACACATCTTCACAGCGTACAAAAAGATTATTCCACAACAACCAAATGCATGGTTGAAGGAGGGAATAAGCTCAGACATGATATTCTTGTGCAAACATTAAATCCATTGGTGATTTTTCACCCCATTGAAAGAAGAGTCAGACAAGGAAGCAGTGTTGTTTATGTTGAAAGGCAGATCATATGATGTCATAGACCTGTACCATCTTTTTAACCTGCTACAATAGTCTGCTCTTTGAAACATAAATGCTTGTTATGAAATGATGATGAATTTGATCATTTCTTCAGGCTTACCTATATGTATCCATGGTCTGGAGTTCTCAGGAATGTCAATGTCTTTTCATTTGTCTATAGTACATTGTTAGCTATTCTGTGGCTAACTACTCTCCATTCACAGTAAAGACAACCTCCTATTTTCTGCTAAGTTGAGGCTGTCTATACTATGGAATTCTGTTTGGTGAACACTATTTGGGATTCAATTCATTTGTTTCTATCCTTCCACCCTAACTTTGCTCTCATTCAGATTTTTATTTATTGATTAATTGATTGGCTGATTACATTTTTACCAGAAAGTATGATGGTTATCATTAAGTATTATTTCGGCTTTGACAGTATTTTATTCTCTCTTATTTTCGGTTTACAAATCTCATTTCAGATTGTGGTGGAATACAGACAGGTGAGAGTGGAGTGATCGCAAGTCCTAACTATCCAAAAAATTATGGTAGATGGACCCAATGTTCATGGCTGTTGGAAGCCCCAGAAGGGCACATCATCACTGTGAGTTCTTATAGCTGGATTACTAGATCATGGAAATGATGTGTGTGTGTGTGTGCGCGCGTGCGTGCGTGCGTGCGTGCGTACGTGCGTGCGTGCGTGCGTGCGTGCGTGCGTGCGTGCGTGTGTGTGTGTGTGTGTGTGTGTGTATCTATATTTGTAAATAAGTGATTAGAGTAGGCTTTGGTTTTATAATCAGATAACTTTTTTCTGTAAAATTATTTGTTTAGATATTAGATACAGATATTGTTATCTACCAGTCTATAATCAATGAAGACTGTTTTCTTTTCTCAAATTAAAAAAAAGGTGTGTGTAGAAGCTAATTCAGCCTCCAGGAATTGACAAGAAGTGTCATCCTAACTTAATAGGTTGCTGGGGTTCTCCCAAGTGACTCTACTACATGGAAAAAATACACTCTAAATTCACAAGAGAACTTTTAACAAGGAAAACAGAGTGAAGAGGAGAAAATAAAGAGTCATAGATACAAAACAATGAGAATCATGACAAAATGAAAGTGTTTGTAGAAACTCTGTAAGCTGGAGGTAAATGAACTCCTTTACAGCTCAGGGTTGCTTATCATGTCTCTTCTCTTCTGCAGCTCACATTTAGTGACTTTCATCTTGAGAATGAACCAACTTGCACGGCAGACACGGTTACTATCAGGAATGGTGGCTCCCCTGAATCACCCATCATAGGACGGTACTGCGGGTGGTCAGTCCCTGGGCCAGTACAGTCTGGTTCTAACAAGCTTGTGGTGACTTTTACCACAAACCGTCTAGGGCAAAGTCGTGGATTTTATGCTACATGGAACACAGGCACCTTAGGTAAAACAAACAAACAGAAAACCTCCTCTATACTTAACATTTATTTTTCAAAACTAATTTAAAGTATAGTCATTCCTTAGTACTGAAGGGCTCCAGGACTCCACTTAATAGAAAAATCTAGAGGTGCTAAAATTTCTTGTACAGTATGATGCAGTACTTGTGCATGGTGTATGAGTGTTCTCCAGAAAACATTATCTCTAGATTATTTGTAATTCATAATACAATATAAATGCAGTGTGTGTGTGTGTGTGTGTGTGTGTGTGTGTGTGTGTGTGTGTGTGTTGTCCCTAGAGACATAGTGTTTGATTGAGGAGTTTGAGGAAATCTGTGGTTTAGGAAAAAAATAAAGGCTGTAATTGAGACTGAATTAAAAGATAATGGATTTGATTTGTTAAAATAGCATTGTACCTATGAAATATGAACTTTGTGGAACTTCTCAGAAGCTACAAGTATTTGTATTGGATAGTTAGGATTTTAGTAAATCTTAACCTTCACAGAACAGTTCTTTGTAGAAGAGTTTACTAATATGAAGATCTCTATAGAATCTCCTCCATCTCTTCATTAAACCACTAGCTGCTCTTGAAGTCATCAGGGAGTTACAGATGAACCACTGCCTCAAAAGCAAAAGACTGAGGCCATGTCCCTTTATCTAACTTCACTCTGTTCTTAGTTAATACTTTTCTTTGTTATCTCTTAGGTATGTGTGTTAAGGTTATGACAATAATTCTAGATTTTCTTTCTTTGTATTTCTGTGATTTATTCAGAACAGTCAATCACTTTCAATATGAGCCAGGTTACTTAGTGAGATGACTTTCCCCAGTTTAAAAAAAAAGCCATTTTCTCTAGTTTTCTGTAGTAAACTAAAATTACAAGAGATCACACAGCTGTATTCACATCTGTTTGTGGTAAGAAAATATAGAGTGAGTGTGGCCTGGCTATCTATCTACCTGCTATGCAGTCTCAAGGAAAGTAGAAAAGATGACTTGTTTGGAATCAGAGTGGGGAATCTATCGATCCAGTCTACAAGACTCAGATCAAGCACCTTAACTGGGTTGTGCGGGTATCCCAAAACAGTGACAGCCTTCTGTTTTTAAAGTATTTCATATTTATGGGCTCCTATTTAGTTTCTGCTCCAAAGACAAGTCAGACACAAGAAAAGTTGAGTTATGTCCTCACATTTAGAAATATTCTCTAGCCATCTTAGGTTTCTAAATTTGATATTTTATCTTGAAGACTTATTTTTTTAATGGAAAATTTCCAGGTTGTGGTGGAACATTCCATTCAGATAATGGTACAATCAAATCTCCTCATTGGCCTCAGCCATTCCCCACGAACAGCAGATGCTCCTGGACAGCCATCACGCATGAGAGTAAACACTGGGAGATTAGCTTTGACAGCAATTTCCGAATCCCCAGCAGTGACAGCCAGTGTGGGAACAGCTTTGTGAAGGTTGGTGTGCTTGTTTCTTTAACTGGTTTTGTGAATGTAAGCATTTCAGCTACAGAGGACTCAGTTGTTTCTTGAGGTGCAAAGAGTACAGTTTTACTGCTTGAATTGCTTAGATGTGGAAGCAAGACACCTCAACTGTTAAAAGATAAGGTTTGAAACACAAAGTGATGCTGTCCTGTAGTCTTCTATCTTCTGCTCTGGGCAGAGTGACTAAATGAAGGAAATATTTTTCTCTGGTCTTCTTAAATTGTCATGAGCATTAATGGATAGTTTTTCCTTTCCTCTTTCATTTCTTTCCTCCCCCATTCTTTCCTTCCTTTCTTCTTTCCATCCTTGCTTTTTCTCTCCCTCTCTCCTATTTTTGTCTTGCTTTACTAAAAGAAAATAGAGTATAAACAGCATAAGGTCTCATCACAAGGAAAATTTAATGTATGCTATAAAAATGACAGGATATTGAAGTAGTCAATGACAACCTTTGTTCCAGATATTAAGAGCCCATACTGTGAAACAACCATGAGAGACCTGAATTAAGAAATAATGGTTCAGGAAGTTAGACAAGAGCTTACCTCTAAGGCAGCTTTCCTGCTGACAGAGCACTGATTTTCAGTTCCTATTGACACCACCATAACTATATCATAAGTTCACTTTAGCTGTGCTATCTATATTGCATCTTGTATATTGCATCACTGCAAAACTATGCCTTTTAGTGGAAAGACCCATTGGCCTAAGTCCCATTAGCCAGAAATATTTTCAACTCTTTCATACTTGTCACCCATATGTATTTTTATGAATTAATTTAATTCTTTAGCTTCAAATTATTTAACTAGCAAATAAAGAGAATGATTCCTACTTCAGTAGGGTTGTATTAAACATTAGAATATGTCATAATAGTATAAAAACTACCTAGTACTTGGGAATATAAAAGTATTCACCTACTGAATGGAAATGCCTTTTTAAAATCAATATTATTATTTCATATTATCTCTCAAATTGTTTTATTTCACATTGATCTGTTCATCTTATTTAAATGAAAATCTAATCCTTACAAAATATGCACATAATAAAATGGAGTTAATATATACTGCTCTTAATTGCTTTTTCCCATAAAGAGAGCTCTCTTTTCATAAGATGTGTGCAGACTTACATGAAATCTTATAAGTTATTCAATGGGAAAAAGTTAATCTGGTAAACTGACCGGGATCGTTCTTCCTCTGGGTAGAATGGAAGTCCCTCTGAAACTGTCGTACAAGCCCAGTGCCAAAAGAAAATGATATCAATTGGCAATTGCCAAAAATAAATAATGGAAGAAACACTATATTTCACTGAATGGAAGACTTTCCATTGACAAGACTGTGATAACTGTGTTATGACTCTCTTGTTTATGTCAAAGGATGCTTCTGTATAGATGGAAGTAATGAGAAAAGAGACCCAGTGACAGCAAACTACCTGGAGTGGGCAGGTCCTTGGTGTCTCTAAGTCAGGGACTCTTTTCTTTGTCATATAGACAAGAGGGAAGATGGACAGAATGGTCAAAGATGCAAAAACCCTCTTTGTTCTCAAAATTAGAGATGTTTCTCCTCCCAAAGACCCTAAGGGAAATCCTACTCAACCCTCCTACTTTGATGGAGAAATACACAGAAGCCAAACCAGGTGAAGGACTCTCTGTACCCCTGGGAAGCACTAACTATACTAGATTAGGCATGGTTTTACACACTTAAAATCCTAGCATTTCAGAGGTAGAGGCAGGAGCATCAGAGTGTCAAGCTCATTCTTGGCTACATAGCGAGTTTAAGGACCACCTGATCCACATTCGACTTTGTCTCAAAAAGAGAGAGAGAGAGAGAGAGAGAGAGAGAGAGAGAGAGAGAGAGAAAGAAAATACTAGGAGCATCCCAAAAGTACCATAAAAACCAAGGTGAAGGAAATTACACTACAGATACTCAGAAAATCAAATTGCCATTAGAAACAGAGCCCAAGAATGCATGCAAAACTATATACTGAACATAAACATGGTAACACTCTTCAAAATAAAACTCGGAGCTTACTAGCATAATAGATAAAATGTTTAGGTCACAACAAGAAAAAACCAAAGACTATTACAACTGGAGTAAGGAAAAATAATCAAGTCAACCCTGAGAGAAATAGATAATGGATGTATGTGACAAAGATGTCAATGCTGCGGTCATAAAAGTACCTCAGGGATCACAAACAAGTTCTCTTTAAAGCATTGTCATAACCAAATGAATAATAGAATATCTTGGCAAAGAAACAGTTCTGATAAAGAACTAAATGCAAATTATAGAACTAAAAACACAGCGGAAACAACTTACTATTTAATCTGAATAGTTAAGTGGAAATGATAGAGAACAGAATCAGTAAATTTGAGGACAGAACAACAGAAGTTACCCCTTGGAACAATAAAGAGAAAATAGACTTAAAAAATCATGAACAGAACAATAACAAACTATCCAACACTCATACCACTGCGGTCCTACAAGGAAAGACAATAATTCAACTGACAATAGTTAAAGAAATAATGAAGTACCAAAATAAAAGAATCGCCAACAATAAATTTAGCATCTTGAAAATTGCTGTTAATATCAAGGGGGAATTTTTAAATTCCCTTACAAAAGCAAGCTAAAAGAAAACATCCACAAAGTACTTGCCATTAAAGATTGTTTAAGGGAACTTACTCTAACTACACAGAATGGTATGGAAAGGAACCTTGGAGCATAAAGAAGAAGGAATCAAGAAATGAGTAGAAAGTGTGCATCTGTTTAGAATATACCTATACATAGAATATATGTTTATGAATTATATTTAGTGATTTATAAAAAAGCTTATAATGGAATATAAGCTTATATCTGACAATGGAAAGCGGTAAAGGAACCTAAGTGGAGGTTGTATTTCAACACTCCCCTCAAAATGGCCCAGTGTGAATATTGGAGTAGACCTAAGTAATTATATATGTATGTTTTAACACCCAGAAAAATAAAAAAATATCATAAAGGATATGAAGGCCTATGAAAAACACTACATTTCACTAAACATGGGATATCTAGGAAATCAAGAAAAAGCACACAGTGGATCAAAGAGTAGAAGAAGAAAACAGAATGCAAATAGAAAAGTGGAAGTCCAATTTGTGTGTTTTAAATAACCTAGTTAACCAATTAAAATAGACAGATTAATGGAGTTAAAACATGATGCATGTGGAAACAAACTCACTTCAAATCCAACCATACAGGTAGGTTAAAAGAAAAGGATATAAAATCATAAATCAGGGAAACAATATTTTTTAAAAAGCAGTAATGACTATATTAACTGCTAAAATGGAATCCAAAGCTTTAATATATCGCTGTAGAAAAGAGACATCTTACATGAGAATAGAACAATCAGTCTACCAGCGAGACAAAATGAGACTAAATGTTCTTTCTTGAAACAATAGAGACAGAAGCACAAAAAGCAAAGCTTGGTAGTGCTATGAAGATAGCTCTTCAGCTGGGTTAAGTTTTCAACACTCTGCTCTCACTAGCTCATAGTGGAGCCAGCTAGACAATGTACCAGGATGCAAGGAGCTCTGAAACTGTGAAGCAATAGGATAAAACTGGCAGATGCACATTTTGGATGTCTTTGTAACATGCCAGGATAGACCACATACTGAGAAAAAAAATAAAACCTCAATAAATCAAAGAACTAAACTGCAGAGAATATATTTCTCTGATGGTAGAAACTACAAAGTGACAGTAGAAAAAGGCCCTGCCTTCCACACATCAGAATAAGCAGTCAGCTAAAACAACCAGCCAGAGTGAGCATAGAAATCAAGTTTCCATTAATTGCTTCCTGAAATGGCATAATCAAGACGTAAAAAGGGCAAAAGTGTGGGCTCCTCCCACCTCATGCATGGAAAGGGTCAAGAGGTCAGCACAGAGGTGAAAGGGGATCACAGCTGTGTGAGCCCAAAAAACAAACAAACAAACAAAAAACCCAAAAACAAAAAAAACAAGACAAAACAAAAAACCAGAAAATACCGAGGACTGAGTTAAAGCATTTTCAACTTTCTCCCTTCCCCTCACAAGAGGTCTTGGCAAAGGTGCCTGTGAAGGCCTCCAGCTAGGGGCTGCTGAAAAAGACTCCCCAGGAAGGTGCCTGGGCTACGAATGCACCTCTATATGAGAGTCTACTTGGCCACCAGGGCACGAATCCCTTACAGTAACTCACTTCAGTGACTGGAACATGTTGGCTCAGGAGGTAGACATAGGGCAGGTCACACTTTTGTAACTGTCATTGGTCAGGACTAAAAATTCAGAAAGGATTTTTGACAAAGACAAAACACACCGTATGACACAATACACTGACATTTAACACCTAAAAATAACCCATGGGTCAAAGAAGATGTCTCAAAGGAATTTTAAAAACACATAGAAGGAAATCAAAGAAAATAAGACCAATCAAGTATATAGATTATGGCAAAAACTTGGTTTAAGAGTAAACTGGTATAAAGACATCATGTACATTTTAAAAGTAAAGTCAAAGCCAATATAGTCAAGAAAATAATGATGAAAATAGAAATTAATGAACTTGACAATAGGAATACAATAGGAAAATCAAGAAAATTGATAAATTCATTGCAAGGCTGACAAAAATCAAAAGGGTAACACAAATCACCAGTATCAGATAGGGATCTTAGTTAGAATTTAAGAGAGATCAGTATATTCCTGTAGCCACTAGAAGATTTGAGACTGTGCACAGCATCCTCCGCTCATTTACTCTAGTCACTTCTTTCAGACCATCCAAGACTTTAATGGCCAAAAGCCCATGTAGAAGGCAGGGTTATCTAAAGTTGACCAATTGGAGGAAAACTTTACTGTCCACCTCTACAAAAACCAAACACAACCTCCTTAGGGCACCCAGGATGAAATAAACGACTTAAAAACCAACTTTCAAATCATTCTCCAAAGAAAATATTCCATATTTGCATGTGACTTATTTAATCTTCCCTTTTTCTATAGAATTGAATATAATTATCTTCCTTTTTTTCTATAGAATTGAATATAATTATATTCAAGTCTAAACCTGTTAAAATATTGGCAGGTAAAAACTTGACAGCATTAAGTCATTTTTTTTTTTTTTTTACCCCATCAGGTCTGGGGAGGAACCTTGAAGACCAACGATACCCTGTTGGCAACAAGCTGTGGGGATGTGGCTCCTAGTCCCATTGTCACAACAGGAAACACGTTCACTGCTGTCTTCCAGTCTGAGGAGATGCCAGGCCAGGGCTTCTCTGCATCCTTCATAAGCCGTAAGTAGCACTGGAGTCTAAACCATTGAGGAAGAGCAGGTACCTCAGACTGCCTTGGGGAACAGTGGGAATCAAGCCCCACCAAGACTGGCTCGATAAGGATCCTGGGAAGAAACATGAGTGAGCTACCTAATTCTGGAGGGACACCCTTCCTTCGAAAGTCAGTGAAATTCAGGCATGGTTGTATGTGTCTATATTATAGAGAAGGCAAAGGTAGCATGAACTGGACTTTGAAACCAGTTTGGGGGGAACTACAGTGCTATTGGAGCTGAGTTCAAGGACAGGTCAACTGAGTATGACCCCCAAAAGGCTCTACTGCTCTGACTGCTGAGCACAAATGAGGTTAATGGGAACTGGAGCCGTTTTCAAGCTTGAGATGCTGGGGCCTGTGCATTTGGCTGAATTAAATCAGATGGACACTATTTGCAAAGCAATGTTCAAGGTAAAGCTTGGGGAAAATTATTGGAGGGAATAATGCAGTAAACAGATGTTTCAGACATGAATTAAAGAACAAGGATGATGGATAGGGAGTAATTATGGTCAACTTCTGACATAGCCTGGGTATTCAGATGACCTGTGGGTGTGTGTGTGTGTGTGTGTGTGTGTGCGTGAGAGAGAGAGAGAGAGAGGGAGAGAGAGAGAGAGATTCAGTGTAAAAGGATATATTTTATTCATAATATATTGCCATATATGCCAATAAATTTATGTCATAATCATGTCAAAATTATGTCATAATTTATTGCCAAAGGGTGACATACATCAGCTAGAAGTATATGAAAACAAATGCCACTTTAGTATTGCGAGATAATAGTGCCTGCAGTAGTGCAGTTGAACCTAGGGCTTTTTAGAAAAGCACTACTTTAGAAGTATATTCCCAGCCCTTTCCTCCCTACTTCTTAAGTTTTGGCACAGTGTCTAGCTAAATTGCCATAAGCCAGCCCCGAAGCTCCAGTGCAGCCCAGGCTTTTCTTGAACTTTTACTCCTGAAGCCTGTTTCCAGCTGGGAGTACAGATGTGTACTACTGCCCTGCCTTCTGTATCTGTATTTTGGGCAGCTTGGATTCATGCAACAATCTGATAAATATCATGACTAGTATATTAAACTGCCTTTTAAAAGTAATGATCATTGTTATTATGCTTAGATTTAAAAGTTGTAAGGGAATAACTCTTTTCTAATAGACATTTAGAAAACACTTTAAAAACTCTTTTTATTTAATTATGTTTTCAATCTTATTTTACATATCAATCCCAGTTCCCTCTCCCTCCCATCCTCCCATGTCCCGCAGCACTGACAACCTCATCCACTCCCCAGGCAGGGTGAGGCCTTCCATGAGAGATCATCAAAATCTGTCCAGTCATTTGGGGCAGGGCCTAGAGCCTCGCCTGCGTATCTAAGCTAAGAGAGTATCCCTCCATGGAAAATGGACCCCTGAAGTCGGTTTGTGCAATGGGGATACATCCCTGTTCCACAAGGAGACTTTACAAACTCTTTAGGCGATTGGTATAATATTTTTCAAATAAAACATAAAGTAATACTCAGAGATATAGCACACTGCATGTGCATGTGTGTGCTTGTGCATATGTGTGCAAGTGTATATGTGTATATTGATAATTTATCTTCTTAAAAATATTTTGAGACTTGAAGTGTATTATGCAACAAAATATCTACTACTTGGCATCTAAAATTCCTCATGATATTCTTATCAGTTTTTATTTTGTTCCTAAATAGAATTATAAATCTAAGTTATTCTCTTGGTGCTCCTCTTCCATTTGGAGTACTATGAGAAATTTTCTGTGGAGACTTCATGAAAATGGCAGTCTTATGTCTTTCTCTTTATGTCATAGTTGGTCTGAATGACAATGAATGTCCTGATGATTTATTTATTTATTTATTTATTTATTTATTTATTTATTTATTCTTGTGTAGGATGTGGACGTAGGTTCAATGGATCCAGAGGTGACATTATCTCTCCAAACTTTCCAAAGCCATATGACAACAACATGAACTGCACCTACTTCATAGATGTTGAACCTCAGTCTCTGGTCATCCTGACCTTTGTGTCCTTCCATTTGGAAGGTATGTCTATTCTTTTCCAAAAATTAGTTAATTTTAACTGATAAAGGCATATATCTACAGTGTTGATATAGGGCTTTGATAAAGATTTTGATATAAGGATAGCTTACCTCATGGTTATGCCCAGCTAGTTAAAATACCTAATAATATACTATTTTTGATTGTGAGAACATCTAGAATCTATTCTCATAGAAATATTCAAATAGATAACACATCATTATTAATTATAATCTCCATGTTGTACAGAAGATTTTCTGAATTTATTCCTTTTGCTAGAATAAGGGTAAGTATTATGATCTTTGATAGATATCTCCCCATCCTTTAAGATAGTAACCACTGTTCTACTCTACAAGTTCAACTGTTTTAGATTTCACAGAGAAATGAGATTATGTGCTATTTGTTTTTCCTGTGCATGGTTTTCTCATTTAGCATAATGCCTTGAAATTTATTCATATTGCTGTGAACTACAGTATTTCCTTTCCATGAAGACAGAATAGTACTTCATTGTGTTTATTCTCATTCAGCAGTCTGTCTATGTGTGTCATTCCCGTTATTCATCAGGAGAAGAACTCTTGAGTTGATTTTCATGTCTTGGCTATTATGAATAATTCTCTAACAAACATGGAAGAATAGATTGGTCTTCACCACACTGACTTCATTTCCTCTGGGTGTATGCCCAGGATTGGAATTGCTGAATAGTATAGGTCTATTTTTAACTTTTTGAAGGCCCTCTTTCTCATAATGGTTTCACTAGTTTAAATACTCACATATTCACTATTAATCATCTCTTGTTTTTTGATGATAGCCAAAGATTCTATTTATTTCAAGCAAACAAAAAATAATTATGCCATTAATGAGAGAGATGTAGGTAGTTTCTAAAATCACCACTTGAAGACATAACCATGTTCTGAACACTAATGTAAATGCAAATAAAATTACAAATAAAGAAATCTTTTTTATCTCCATACTGAGGACTGAACTTTGAGCAGGAGCAGCAAGCACCCTATAACTAAGCTATAATCACACTCAATACTTCTTGTTTGAAAACAGGTCTCACTGAACTGCCCAAGCTGATCTTGAACTCATATGTAAATCAAACAGGCCTATAACTCCTGCCTCAGTCTTAAGAGAAGCTGAGGTCATAGGCCTGGCTTCCTTCTGGTTTGTAAAGAGCAAAAGTGCCATTTAATATAATCCATCCAGAACTGAAAAACTAAAATAATAACTTTAAAGACACAGGCACCACATAAATTTGATTAAAGAAAATGCACCTGAAGCCTGTTATATTTTACATAGTATCTGTTTTTTTTCCCAAGCAGAGAAGATTAAACTGAGGGATACATACCAAGATTGGCAAGTGATCTACCACTGAACTAAGTCACCAGGACTACTTCACTTTTTGTTTTGAGATAAAGTCTGGATAAACTTCTCAAGTTGGCCATGAATTTGATCTATAGACTTAATGGCCTCAGACTTACAATATGCTTCAGACTCCCAAGTAGCTGGAATCCTATGCCATTATGTCAGGCTCATGGCTTTTAATTTATTCGTTTGCAGTTATGCTCTACATACATGCATGTAAACATACACATCTACAATCAGAATCACTGAAACTATCCAGTGAGAGAAGCAATTCTTCAAGTCATAATAGGCACTCAATCAATATTGAATGAGTGAGTAGGTAGTAAGATTAGAATCAGCTCTGCTTTTATGAAATAGCAACATGGGGTATCCCTTCATCTATGTTCTGTGATCTCACCTCCCGACTTCTGATTCCTCAGTGGGAAGGTTCCTAAGCACATGCATTTCTTCTCTGCTCACTTTCCAATTCAAGAGTAAGGGCTGTTGGTAGATAAATAGTAAGGTTGGCTCAAGCCAGGCTATGATAATACACACTAGATGATTTTGAAGACAAGAATCAAAATCCCTTCAAGTGGATGGGTGTTTTCACCTACTCTTGGTCATAATTGTCCTTTCTCATGAATCATATATTTATAGACAGTAATTAATTTGTAATTCTGTCAAGATGCTTCTGCATCTTCAAATCTGAAAGGATACATGCACAGCAGGCACATTGAACTAATGTGGATCAAGAATCAAATCCAGTATTGGTAATGTTTCCCTGCATTGTGTGACTTTACATTTTTGCTAACTAAAGATATTTCTAAAGTCAATGTGGTTGACTAAATTAAACAAATGTAACACAAAAGATTACATTCCATGATTCTTTTGTGTGAAAAGTCCAGAATAAAGAAATAATATACACAGAAAGCAGTCTCACGGGGCTACGACTGTAGTATGAAGAGCAGAAGAGATAATCATTGATTGTCAGTGGACATTGGTCTCTCTGTAGTGCGGTCAGAATGTAGAATTTGGAAGACCATCACATCCTTAAAGTGCTGTGGGAGCGTCAACTTGGAACACCTTGCCAAAGAGCCCTTGGAGAAACCTGAAAGACATTCCTGCCTTAGTTCTGAGAACTCAAACTCTAAAATCGTGTTCTACTGAAATAAATTGTTCACATATTTATGCACAAGGATGATTTTTTTACAATGTATTTAGTCACAAGAGTCACAAGAGGGTTTGAAAAATTCATTGATCATAAGGGTTTTATTGAGAATGGGTTGGTAACTTTTACATTAGAACTTAATGTATACATTGGTAAAATGTCTTAGAGGGCTATATACTTACATATGATGCTGTTTCATGTTATTAAAAATCAGGTTACAGTAAGTGTGCTCCCATGACGTTTGGAGAGTAGTGCTCACCTACAAACACAAGCACACAGCAGCAAACATTCCCTTAATGCCTTTGAAAGCTGCTTTATGCTGTCTTGCAGGAAGGGAGGAGATCAAGCACCTCTTTTGCTTTAAATTAGAAGACAGTGTTGATGCAAATTTACAATCACCGAAGCCCTGAAATTGATGTTTTCATGAACATTGGAAAGGGCTTTCAGGAAACATCAAGGGATTTCTCATGGGTCTGCTCATGGTCACTCTACGTAAAGTTTCTCTCAAGAGCAGTACTGTTGACGTTGTGAGCTGCATGGTTTTTTTGGGGGGGTTTGTTTTTGTTAGTTTATATTTTGTTTTTGTGGTAGGAGGGCTCAGAGTATGGGAATGGTCCCAGTGTATTAAAGCCTGTTTAACAGCTTCCGTGGCTTCTAACTCATTCTCCAATATTGCGACAAAAATATCTTCAGACACCACACCTCCCCTTGGAGTCAAGTTGCCTCTGGTTTATAATTCCTAGATAAATAGAATGATTCTGTACAGAAAGGAAATTATGAGTAACAACTGAATTTGCTTATTATGGAGTTCTGTCTGCTTTCTCTTTTCTGTCCATGTTTTATCTCTTGGATAATATTATTTCACTTGGAACTAAAGTTACATATTGATATAGAAAACCACCTCTTAATTTTGATTGTATCTTCTGAATCAATTACAGAATTGTAGTATTTTATCTGTTTATAGCATCATGTGTCTACAGCATTTCTGCTCTGATGTTGGTCATTCTGTGCTCTGTGTAGATCGCTCAGCCATCACTGGAAACTGTGATCATGACGGCTTGCACATCATCAAAGGTCACAACCTGTCTTCCACTCCTCTTGCGACCATATGTGGTTCTGAAGCCTTACATCCCCTCACTGTGGATGGCCCAGTATTGCTTAACTTCTATTCTAATGCATATGCCACGGACTTTGGGTTCAAGATTTCCTACAGAGTCACCAGTGAGTAACTATACTAATGTCATTTGGAATTTTTTCTTATGTAATTCACATAAGGAGATTTTTGTTATGATTCATCATATGTTACCAACTTAAAGATTCAGAGGCATTAGGGCAAAAAAATGATCAATTAGGTACATGAGACAAAAGTAGTTATTTTTTTCTTTTAAAAATAAACCACTGGGACTGTAGAGATGGCTCTGTGGATAAAGCACTTGATGCTCTTTCAAGCAAGGTTGGGTTCCCAGTACTCACATGGCGGCTCACAATGCCCACTTCTAGACTCTGTGGGCACTATCTACATGTAATGCACATACAGACATGAAGGCACAAACATACATGCATAAACTAAATATATATTATATAAAAATAGGCATTTCCCCATCTGAAAATAAAACATAATATTGAGATTTGTTTTGTAAGTATGTTATCCAGCACAGCCACTTCAGTGAAACCAGAACACAAAACTGTTCCTGGGTCTGTTTTGTCTTTGCATGGCCACGTGAATGGCTAATGGTAGGAAATAAAGTAGCTTGTCTTCAAATAAAGTATTCTGACCATCTACAGAGAACACCAAAACATGTATTTATGCACAGAAAGAATCTCATGGTTTACTCTCAGTCACTGATGTCTTGCTCCTGACCCCTGGCAACCAGGAATCGTGATTCTGTGGTATTTCCTATGCCTGATTACATCAATAAAATAGAAAAACATATTCCTTCATAGTCTGGATAAATAGGAAGGGGATTTGTTGTATTCTCAACTACTGCTTGATGTCTATTCTTCTGCTCCTTTACCCCTTATTTTCCTAAAGTATAGTTTGTGAGCACAGTTCAATTCCCCTTTCAGTGTCACTTACTTAAAGAATGTTGTTGCTACTGGCTTCTTAGTAGTGTGTGGAGAAGTTGTTTGGCCACAGATAAGTTTTCAGAGATCATGTAATTGACAATGAGTGAAATAAAGCAGTTTCTACCCATCTGACATTTAACTTATGACTGCTATGTCCAGAGACTGGAATGTATGAAGACTTTTGGCACAGAAAAGAATCTGCCCTGTGAATGGGCAGAGTTGAGGCAAAACCAAATAAACAAAAGCCCTAAATAATAGCCACAAATTGTATCTAATCTTGGTGATATGTTAGTGGACAGTGTGTTCATTGGTAACTAGAGAAACATCACCAAAACATAAAAGTTTCGTATAATTTTAGGATTATAAAACAAATAAACATGCTCATGGGAATATGTCATTAGGTGGGAACATCTGATCCTTGCTAGGTACAATCCATGGAAAAATGATACCTCATTAGTTACAATGGAACATTGCATTTTGTGGTGATTACATTGTTGACTGCTGGGTATAACAAAGGGCTATGGCTGTTAATGGCTGGAGTTAGAGCAGGGAGTGGGACAAATGTCCTCATGTTTATTGAATATAAATAACACAAATTTGAGCAAGTATAAAGCTTTACTAATCTTACAACTAAATACAAAACTGTAGAATCTAAGAGTGAGGCATTTGACCTCTAGCCGACTTCTAACATGTCATGTATGACATTGTGTCTCTACCTGAGAGGACCTGTGCTGACTCGGGTCTCTACATTGCAGTCTTGCTCTATGAACAGAGCACACATGGAATTCTCCCTGCCTTATTTGAGAATCCTGTTGCTGTACCATCTCTCTGTCAACCTGTCATTTAGAGTGAAGGGACAGACATAGCCCAACATATGAAATGTACATTCTTGTTGCTTTAATTCTGTTTTTTTTTCTTAGACTTCTTCCCTGTCCTTTTTCTCCTGCCTAGGAAATTCAAGGTGATTCATAAACACAGTGAAGGAGGTGGAGGTTGTCTAAAGAACAATCAATATAACTCTTGCTGTTTTAGCAAACAATAGATTAGACTATGCCCCAAAAGATTTGCCCATGTTATGAGTAATAATCATTATGTGCACTTTTGCTTGTCTTCTGTTACAGCCTGTGGTGGAATCTACAATAAATCCATTGGGCTCCTTAGGAGTCCTTCAGACTCATCTACCAACTACCCCAACAATGTCTACTGTGTCTACACCATCTATGTAAGAAGCAACAGAGTGATTCTGCTTAGGTATGTAAGACACATTTGCCTCAAGAAACACTTTCAGCTCTGATCACAGGAAAGCTACCTTACTGATGGCGAGTATGAGTTCTCACAGTGTCCTGGCTAGAATCTAGAGAAAAGTAGAAGGGCTCCATACGGCAGGAAAGCCAACCAGGTGGTCTTCTAATCCTCTACACAATCCAGGGAGCTTGGGGTTGCAATGTGAACTTGAATGGTTAAAACAGTCCTTGTAACTTCTCAACAGTTTTAACAGAGCTTCATATAATAGCTGTCAAATTACAATCCCTCCTTTCCATCAAAGAGGATACAGACTAGGGAAAAAAAGGTTGCCATTTGTTCAACATTTATTATACACAAGAAGCATCGCTCAATTTTTTTCTCAAATGTTTTATTGTACTGTTAAAACAGTCGTGAGAAATATGCAAGCATACTTGTATATGTGTTAGGAAAAGGTCACACAGCTTCCTCAAAATAACACATATTTAAATGAAGAGTGAAAATCTGGACCCACGTCAAATGTCCTTCCAAAGCCATGTCCTGAGTAATTTTACCACCCTTTGTCTCTTGAAGATAAAACTTTATCCCACAAAGTTTATTTTAATTTATGAATCAAAGCAACTCTAA